CTTGTAGCCAAAAGGTGTTGAGGCAAACGTGTTTTTTTTTGTAGATTTCGTGCGTTAGGAGTCATCGCTCGTTACTTTCTGTACCTACATCGCTTGCAGTATTTCATTCTACTATGATCTCATTGAAAATCTTGTTCTTTCTGCTGTCATATCAATGACTTGTGGTAATCATTCGGCTGCTCAACTTTTTAAAGTTGTTTAGGTCATTTATCGATTTCCATTCATTGAAAACAAAATCAATACAAGTTTTTCTATGCTGAATTGTCTTAAATTACACAACCAAGCGAATGAGAGAGCAAGAATGAAGATAATGACAAGTTTATACATGCAACGCACTGCCTTGCAGAAACAGAGACAATAACAGAATCAGAAACAGATACAGAAACATTTCAACCCCTATGGTACAAAAGGCAGATTGAGTCGGATAAACGTATGCCCAAAATTTGATTGAATTCGATTTGATATGAAAGATTTCAATCTTGTACTTGCACAGAGAATGACTATGAAAGATTTTAATGTAGAAATTAGGTTATGTGGGAACAGCCGCACATAATTAGATACATTACTGGAAAGATATCAGAACAATCGCACTACTGGATCACTGATAGTCACCGATTGGAAGGAGATAAACTTCATCAGGATTTGAGTTTGCATTTGACGGATGCTTCCTGATTTCATTTGCAATTTGCAGTTCTAATTTTTGTTTTTCGAGGCGTGCGTTTTCAAGGGTTATTTGTGCGGTTTCCATTTGAATTTCTAGTAACCTTGCGTAACTCTGCTCGTTCCTCATACGTAATTCTAGATATTCATGTTCCAGTCGTTTTTTCTCATTCAACCTGGAATTAGAACAGACTAACATTGTTTAATTACAATCCATTATCTGATCATTAACCTCTGGTCTGCTAATTCCCTTCTTTCATTCCCGATGCTGGTTGAATACACATGAGTTTGATTGTCTATAGAACATTCCTTTTCAATGCTGGTTGACTGGTGATCAGCATGATCATTGCTGTAATATGTACATGTAGAATAACGAAAATTGAAGAAAACATACAGTTCTGTTTCCGAAATGTCGAAGTCATGCAGTTGTTCTACCTTCGTCCTTTTGAAAGTATATTCTGACGGAATACTGAAAGGGAAGAAATGACCCTCATAAACTATTGATTTTCAACTTACTCTATGGCGCTGTTACTGCTAGTTTGATTATCAGGTTCAACAATTACATGAGAAAATAGGTTCTGAAAATAGTCTTCGCTTAATGATGGCTGGTAACTCTGAAGTATGATGAATTTTCCCCGGAAGAGATAAAAAAACTAGGAATCACATCAGGTTGGCAATTTCACCCAATTACGTGGATAAGCTTACCTGATTCCCTTTAGCGCTGGAACAGATTTCAATAGGATTTTTTAAGCCTTTCACTCTAGGTTTGGTGCCGATTTTTTCCAAGACAATCGCTATGTGGGGGGCGGCTTTGAGCTTGATTGGAAGTCCTCCGCCAGTCTGATGGGCCTCTTCTCGCTGAACATGTTCGATTTGATGATACGATAATTTCGAATGCATTGAGAATAGTGGATGCTGGATGAGGCTCTAGGCTTTGCTTTGCTCTCTCGAGCGCGTTATTTAATCACCAGTGCGTGACCTCTGGGAAGCAGATGTTACGCACTGGCACTACGGTATGCCTCCAGTTTCGCACTAATACTACTTTCAATACGGATCTCTTCGATGCGCAATTTCGAGGGATTCACTCAGCGGATCCGGTCGTGCTTTCGCATAAGGGATCCACTCAGCGGATTCGCTCGTGCTGTGGCCTTGTAAACTTCCATCTTGATAGCATGCGCTGTGCAAAATTTTGGCTCAGGATGTTGGCTGGAAGACGCTCTATGAATTTAGTGACAGACATGCACAGACAAACAGACGAACGCTTAGCACTTTATTATAAGTCATGATTTTTCGGACTTTATCGATGGAGGCCCCACCTTCCACGCGCTAGTCATAATGAATAGGGGAAAATGCTTGTTACCTGGCGGGCTGAAAAGGACTTTACGTTACGCAAGGTGTCCCTGATCCTTTGATCAAGTTGTCCTGTAGTCCTTTCTGGATATCCGG